AGGGCCACGAAACGTGTGAGGGGTGTGCCGAAATGGGCGGTTGAACCGCATGCGAACGCAGCCACTGTGGCTTTCGGTGGAGCTCCCTATATGGCCACGAAACCTGTGAGGAGTGTGCCGAAATAACGGTGGAACCGCATGCGGGCGCTGCCGCTGGGGCCTTCGGTGGAGCACCCTATGGGGCCACGAAGCGTTCGAGGAGTACGCCAAAATTGAGGTGGAACTGCATGCGGACCCCGCCACTGGGGCCTTCGCCGAAGCACCCTATAGGGCCACGAAACGTGCGAGTGGGGCGCCGAAATGGGGGTGGAACTGCATGCGGACCCTGCCACAAGGGCTTTCGGCGGGGCACCCTGTGGGACCACGAAGCGTGTGAGAGGTGCGCCGAAATTCAAGTGGAACTGCATGCGGACCCTGCCACTGGGGCCTTGGGTGGAGCACCCTATAGGGCCGCGAAACGTGTGAGGGGTGTGCCGAAATGGGGGTGGAACTGCATGCGGACCCTGCCACAAGGGCTTTCGGCGGGGCACCCTGTGGGACCACGAAGCGTGTGAGAGGTGCGCCGAAATTCAAGTGGAACTGCATGCGGACCCTGCCACTGGGGCCTTGGGTGGAGCACCCTATAGGGCCGCGAAACGTGTGAGGGGTGTGCCGAAATGGGGGTGGAACTGCATGCGGACCCTGCCACAAGGGCTTTCGGCGGGGCACCCTGTGGGACCACGAAGCGTGTGAGAGGTGCGCCGAAATTCAAGTGGAACTGCATGCGGACCCTGCCACTGGGGCCTTGGGTGGAGCACCCTATAGGGCCGCGAAACGTGTGAGGGGTGTGCCGAAATGGGGGTGGAACTGCATGCGGACCCTGCCACAGGGGGCCTTCGGCGGAACACCCTATAGGGGCCACGAAACATGTGAGGGGTGCGCCGAAATGGGGGTGGAACTGCATGCGAACCCTGCCACAGGGGGCCTTCGGTGACGCACCCTATAGGGCCACGAATCATGTGAGGGGTGCGCCGAAATCGAGGTGGAACTGCATGCGGACCCTGCAACTGGGGCCTTCGGCGGAGCACCCTATGGGGCCACGAAACGTCCGAGGGGTGCGCCGAAATGGGGGTGGAACTGCATGCGGACCCTGCAACTGGGCCTTCGGCGGAGCACCCTATAGGGCCACGAAACGTGTGAGAGGTGCGCCGAAATGGGGGTGGAACTGCATGCGGACCCCGCCACTGGGGCCTTCGGCGGAACACCCTATGGGGCCGCGAAACGTGTGAGTGGTGCGCCGAAATGGAAGTGGAACTGCATGCGGACCCTGCCACTGGGGCCTTCGGTGGAGCACGCTATGGGGCCACGAAACGTCCGAGGGGTGCGCCGAAATGGGGGTGGAACTGCATGCGGACCCTGCCACTGGGGCCTGGGTGGAGCACCCTATGGGGGCCACGGAACGTGTGAGGGGTGCGCCGAAATGGGGGTGGAACTGCATGCGGACCCTGCCACGGGGGTCTTCGGCGGAGCACCCTATGGAGCCACGAAACATTGTACTAGGTGGGTGAAACGCAGGGAGAAGGGAGAAGGGGGAGGAGGGAGGGGGGCAGCGGGAGGTGGGAACGCGGGGCGCTGTCTCTTCAAAACGAGGACCCAACACCACAGGACGGTTGGGAAAAATGGGGGAGCGACGATTTGATTTTCTTCTTTCGGAGGGTCCAACACTTTTTCTGGCTCCCTTTCAACGGACATCCTTTTGTGGGCGATTTACACATTGATTCCTATTGTGTGGGTTACACATAACATCATGTTTCTGCGCGGCGTTTCAATGGGATTCTTTTTGTGGGCGAATTACCAGTTGATTTCAAGTGTGTGGATTGCACATCGAGATTTCTTTTGTGGGCGATTTGCATATTGATTTCTAGTATGTGGATTGCAAATCGAATCCTTTGTGCGATTTGTTCCATCGGATTATATTGCAGGGTTAGGTGACGACGAAACGGATGAGAGAGAGGACAAAAGACATGATCGAGGCAAGGAACACACACCGACCACTCAAACGAATCCCAAGAGATCAACATACACCACGAAAATGGTTCCCAAATAATGCAACATTTTCATCCCAATAATCCACCCCCTTACCCCCAAAAAAAACCATCGAACATGGCGACGACCTCGCACTTCGCAGCCCCCCCCCGGGGATGTTGAGGTCTAATTTGAATCTGCCGTCGGCACCCACTATGTTGTCCCCCCCAGCAGCCCTTCGAAGTGGCGACAATGTTACGCTTCGCAGCCCCCCAAGGATGTCGAGGTCAAATTTGAATCTGCCGTCGGCACCCACTATGCTGGCCCCCCCAGCAGCAAGTAGCGATAGTTTCGCAGGTCGCAGCCACCAGGCGTGTCGAGGTCTAACTTGAATCAGCCGTTGGCGCCCACTACGCTTTCCCCCCCTAGTAACCCTCGAAACTTGCGAAAGTTTCAGACTTCGAGGCCCCCCCAAAAGGATGCAAGCAGGCAGGTGCAGGCAGGCGAGAGGGGGACAGAGGGCGGGAGGAGGAGAAAAAGGGAGTCGGCATCCCACTGCTCTACTCAAAACGATAACCCAACCAAGGGAGGGTTGGGAAAAAAACGACCCGAACCCAGCGCTTCGAACCTGCCCGCCCTTCTTGCTAACCAGAAACAAACCAGTGCTGGCGATTGTTTTTCGCAGTGCCTCGTCGTCCCCGCCACCTCATCATCCTCTCCCCCTCCATTCCTCCTCGTCTCGTCTCGCCTCCCTTCGGCCACTCCCCCCTCTTGTTCCCTTCTCATCGTCTTAGGCTGCCACGGCTTGGACCCACACTGCTCCAACGCGCACGGCCGAGACCGCGGCCGCGTCAGCGCCACCTTGAAGCAACTTTCCTTCAGACTCCGGCCTTCGATCCTCGATCCTTGAACTTCGATCCTCGAGGGTCGACCCCCGCCGTGCGCGGCGCGCCGCCAACCGAGGCCCGCGCCCCCCTCCGAGGTCTGCGGCGGCGGCGCGCAGGCGGGGCAGGCGACCTCCGCGCAGGGTCGCAGCGGGTCGCCTCGACGGCGCCTGTCGTCGTGGCCGCGACCCCGAGGTGCTGGCGTCGCATGCTCGCGCCCCGAAGCAAAAAACAGGACGGAGGTGTTCGGCGTTTTCGGCCTCTGGGGCTCCTCGCCAGGCCCCGGGGGGCTGTCAAGCGACACTCAGAATAAAAAACTGGCCCCGGGCGAGGGGTCGGTACTTCTGGGGACCCCGTGCTGAACAGAATCAGGACATCGCATGTCTGGGTCAAGATCCTGGCGTCGCATTTATTCTCACTCTGCGATTTCGTCCTACTTCCGGCCCTGGGACCCTCGCGGATGGATCCAGCTCGAGCGGTGTGCCGCCAAAAAATGGAATCAAGGGCTCTGGTCGTGGTTTCGACGATGATCCAATGTGCTTCTTGATGTCGAACCTCGGGGACACTGCGAGGCCGGGGCTCATCCAGCACACTGCCGCCCGGGGGACTCGGCAGTCGCTGGATACGGATGTGACATACGCGGCCACCCCACAGGCCCGAACATATCCAGACTCCCGCCGCCTGCCGCGGGTCCTCGAAGATCGCTTCCCCGGGCGGCGTTGAGGTATAAAATGGGTCCTCGGAGTCGCTGGCCTCAGGATGTGTTTGGCCCGCGACGCAGGCCGCACAAGCGACCTGCCCCACACCCCCGACGTCGTGCTTTCCTTCGCAGCGTGGACCACCCGGATCTCTCGACCCCCTCCCTAGGCCTGCCCTTTCCTCCCGAGTCGTTCTTTGAAGGCCTGGGGGCCCGGCGCGGGCTCCGAAGGCTGAAAACTGCCAAAAACCTCCCGTCGTGTTTCTGTTGACGGCGCGATGAGGACCGGGGCCCTCTGCAAGGGCAGCTATGTTCGCGCCTCGCGCTTCGCGGAGCGCGAATAGAACTTCGCGCTCTCGCGCTGCCGCTCCACGTGGGGGAGAAGAGTCGCCAATCGCGAATCGTAAACAACTTCGCGCCCTCGTGGCAGCGTTCCCTGATCATCGGATGTCAGATTCTTCTGGTAGCGACCGACGAGATCGGTCGCTACCGATCTTGCTTCAACCCCCGGTATCGGCCGCGACCGATCCTGGAGTCGGTCGCGATCGGTGGCGACCCGTTGGGAGTGCTGATCGGTCGCTACCGATATCGATGCTCAAGGACCGATGCTCGAGGGTCGATGCTCAAGGATCGATGCTCCAGGATCGATGTGCGAGGATCGATGCAGGAGGACCGAGGTTTGATCAACGAGGGTTGATGCTCGAGGATCGTCCGATGCTTGAGGATCGAGTTGGAAGAACGCATGTAAAGGATGCTGTCGTCGCGGTCGTGGTGGTTGTCGCCGCGGTCGTCAGGAGGGTCGTCGTCCCTCCTCGCTCCCCGAGGAGGGACGGAGAGAGGGAGGAAGGGGGGTCGGGATGGGTCGAGGTTCAAGAATCGAAGTTCTGCACGTTTTTTTGTTAGCCTGTGTGAGCCCGTCTCGGGCTGCGCGACAATCAAAAACCGATCGGAGATACAAAATACCGGAGATAAGAAATGCCAGGATTGACCCCATGAGGGATCTTTGGAAGGAAAATGGAAAAAGGAGGAAGGAGAAGGATTGGGAGGAGGAAAATGGCAGGATGAGTGTAGGAGGACGCGGGGGGGGGGTGGAGGAGGGAAAGTAAAAAGATCGATGATGGCAATTCTGCACGTTTTTTTGTCCGCCAAGTTGTTGGGTTCTCCTGGAGGCTAGACTTCCCTCAATGTTTTCCTGAACTAGGCTTGTCCTAGATGGTGGCTCGTATTGCCTGCTCTAGGTTGGGTCAAGTCCGAGGGCGTGCGGCCAGACTGTTGGTTCCACCGGAGCTCCAGAGCTCCAGACTTCCATCGCTGTGTCTGATTCTGGTCATCTGGGTGCAACAGTTACAGAGGCCCAGGTCTTCGTGTTGCTGGAACTCAAATCACAGGCCTGGTTCTGATCATCTGGTCACATCCTTTAAAATCGACCAGATGTTCGCGTTGCCAGAACTCCAATCCCGGGCCTGCGGATCCTGATCATCCAGGTACAACCTTTAAGCAGGCCGACTCTGTCGCCAGATCTTGACAACAAGGCCAAATCCTGATCATGCAGGTGGAACCCTTGCAGCAGGCCAGCTCTCCATGCTGCGGGAACTCCACTCCTTGACCCAGTCCTGAGCCAAACCTCCAGTGTTTAGTGCCCTTCGTGGTGCCATAGCTAAGCCCTAGGGCCCGATTTTGAACACTATATGCAGAGACGGCCATCCAGCGGCTGGTGCTCTGCATGCTGCCGGAACTTGACTACGTGGGCCGACTTGGGGCGTCCAGAGCCAACCCTCCAGCTAAAGGTGCTCTACTTCGTGCTCCGGTGCTCCAGCTCCAGCTCCAGCCCGGCTGCAGCTGCAGCCCAGAACCAGCTCTGAGTTCCTGAACAGCTTCAGCCCGACCGCCAGCTTCAGATTCGTTCCAATCCTAGCACCAGGCAAAACTTCAACTTCAGCCCCAGCCTCAGCTTCGCTCCAGCTTAGCTCGTGCTCCTGCCTCATGTCCAAGTTCAGCCGATCTCCTTCCCAGCTCGAGCTCCAGCCTCAGCTCCAGCCCAGCTCCTGCACCAGGTCCAACGCAACTCTAACCAAGCTCCTTCCCAACAACGGCTTCAGCCCCAGCTACGGTGTTTCCGATTTACATTTCCACGCGCTGGCCTGCTGACAAGCAAACGCACACTTTACAAAACCCATAGCTCGGGTTTGCCCTGGGACTTTCTACATCAGAACTCACCCTAGGATCGTGGGGGGAACATTTGAATGGGAAGGAGGGGAGTGCTGAGGAGAAAAAGGAAAGAGGCAGGGTGGTTGGGTGGGCGATTGAAGCTATAATGATAAGGTGACCGAGGAAAGGTCAAAGAGGCCCTCCGGAAGGGAGAAAGGGGGTGATGAAAACGAAGGGAAGGATGGCGAGAAGCAGGGATGATAGAGGATGCGGCGACTCGTATAAGAGTGGAGATGGCGGATGAGGACAACGATGAGAGAAGAGGAGGAGGACGAAGGAATATGGGGACGATGAGGGGGAGGCTCAGAAGGGCGGAAAGTCTCTGACATTTTCTAAGAAAAGCCCTCTCGAAACGCCCACCCGCACCCCTTTTCCATAGTACAACACTTTGCCCGCACTTCCGAAGCCACGACCCTTGTACGAAACAATGGGTCCGCGCTCCCGAGGCCACGATCCATGATACAAAAATATCGGCCCGCGTTTCCGAGGCCACGATCCCTCGTGAAAGAACAACAAATTTGCGCTCCCGAAACCACGACCCCTAGTGTAGAGCACGGATCCGCGCTTCCGAGGACACGACAGCTTTGTAAAGAACACGTTAGCTGCGTCCTCACCCCGCAGTTGCGGATAAGGATGAGGGGGCGGCGAGGACGTCGGCAGTCTGCGAGGCTCTGAGGAAGCCCGCAGCAGGCGCCTAACTTTTACAAGTTATGCAATGAGCCCGCCGCACGCGCCGATCTTTTCGTTAAACCATATGTGGGTGGGTCGCGAAATGGGTTGCGGGTGAGACGCGGGTGGGTCGCGGGTGGGTCGGGGGCCTGGTCGCGGGGGGGGGGGACGACGACAACAAACAACAGCAACCAACAACAGCAACACCATCACCACCACCAACAGCAACAACATCACCACCACCGCCAACAACAACAAAAACAACAACACCAAACCGCACCGCATACCCTGACTGCAGCCACGCGCCCAGGGACAGTGAATGACCGTTTGGCACCCTCAATCTGACGAGGGCGATGAGGGGGAGGCTCAGAAGGGCGGAATGTCTCCGACATGTTCTAAGAAGAGCCCTCTCGAAACGCCCACCCGCACCCCTGTTCCATAATACAAGCATTTCGCCCCCGCTTCCGAAGCCATGACCCATGATACGTAGCACCCCACAGATGCGGATACGAGGGAGGGGGCGGTGGGGACGTCGGCAGTCTGCGAGACTCTGGAGAAGCTCGCCGCATGCGCCAACGTCTCACACATTATACAAAGAGCCCGCCGCAAGCGCGGAACTTTTCTTCAAACCAATGTGGATCGGTCGCGGGTGGGTCGCGGGTGGGTCGCGGGGTGGGTCGCGGGGTGAATCGCAGATGGGTCGCGGGTGGGTCGCGGATGGGTCGCGGGGTGGGTCGCGGGTGGGTCGCGGGTGGGTCGCGGGTGGGTAGAAGGTGGGTCGCGGGTGGGTCGCGGGTTGGGTCGAGGGTGGGTCGCGGGTTGGGTCGCGGGTGGGTCGCGGGTTGGGTCGCGGGGTGGGTCGCGGGTTGGGTCGCGGGGTGGGTCGCGGGGTGGGTCGCGGGGTTGGGTCGCGGGGTGGGTCGCGGGGTGGGTCGCGGGGGGGAAGACGACAACAAACAACACCAGCAACAACAACAACAACAACAACGCAACAAACATAATCCTCACCACGGATTCTAACTTCAGCCACGCACCTAGGGACAATGAATTACCGCTCGGCCTCCTCACCCTGACAAAAATATAGATCCACGCTTCCGAGACCACGACCACGAATGAAGAACACGGACCCGCGCTTCCGAGGCCACGCCAACTTTGCAAAGAACAATGGGTTCGCGATTCCGAGCTTCCAAGACGGCAAAGACAGGCAAACAAGGCAACTACGATGATCCACGATACCTCCAAGACGGCCCAATATTGCCCCAAGACGGGCCATTGGCTGCCTCAATACGGCCCAGGAGGCTCTAGAGACGGCCCAAGAAGGTCACAAGAGGACCTCCAGAAAGGACGGAAGATTCCCAACTCATATATGATCCAGGGCTCCGCCACCCCCCATCCAATGCTAATGGGATCGCCGCCCCCCCCCCCCCCGCTGGATGGGTACGCCAGTGAGCCTCACGAAAGCCTGGCGACTGGGACCGCCCCCTCCCTCCCCTGTGGTCGTGGCCCTGTGGGGTGGCGTTGTGGAGGGTGAATCGTAGTCGTCGTCGCCGTCGCCAGCGTCATCGTCGTCGTCGTCCGTCGTCTTCCGTCAGCGTCGTCGTCGTCCGTCGTCTTCCGTCAGCGTCGGTGTCGACGTCATCGGCGTCGGCGTCGGCGACAGCGTCAGCGTCGGCATTGGCGTCGGCGTTGTCGTCGTCGTCGTCGACGTCGTTGCTGTCGTCGTCGTCATCGTTGTCGTCGTCGTCGTCGTCGACCGCCATCCAATCTGGGGAGGAACCGTGGGACCCATCCCATCCGGGGGTTGGGCCTGTGAACCCTCGACCCGGGATCATACGTCCCATTTGGTTTTGGGAGATCTGGGCGTCTTCAACTTTTCGGCGGGCTTCCTTGAGCCCGAGACGGCCCAAGACGCTCCAACGATGACCCTCAGATGGCCAAGGAAGGCCCTCAAATTCAAACTATCTCTCAGGATGGCCTTGGGATAGCCCAAGCGGGCCTGTAGACGGCCCAGGACGGCCCCCGACCCAACACAGTCTCAGAGGGCCTCTCGACGGCCTCTCGACGGCTGGAGAGATCTCCCATACGGACAGAAAAAAGGCCCGAATACGAAAAAACATCCCGATTTGGCCTACGAGGGCCCAAGACGGCCCACAAGGGCCGTACGGGACCCCAGTACTTTCCCGCAGGGATCTAAGACATCCCCAGGGCGGCCACATACGAGTCACTACTCAACATCATCACCATCATGATGTTCCACATAGCACTCGTCCCCTACGATGTTCCTCCTCCTGTTGTTCCTCCTCCTCCTCCTCCTCCTCCTCCTCCTGTTCGCCCTTCCTCCGCATCGTTTCCTTCATGCTCCGACGCCATCCCAGGGCAACCTCAAGTGATCAACAAAAACGCAAGACGGCAAGGGTGAGACATGTGACGGCGTTTTGACTGACAGTCCAAATCGCCGCTCGATTCGCACGTCATGGCCTCCTGCATCCCCTCGAACGGCTGCTTCTAGGATCGCTGGGCTGGCACGCTGGCGGGACTTGCCGCTGGCAGCTGGGTGATGGAGGAGGAGGTGGAGGAGGAGAGGTGGAACTCGTGCGGGTGGTTACTACTGGCCACTGCGTGACGGGGCGCGGAACCCCGAGCAGAGCGCCGCGCACCGTGCAGGCGCGCTCCGTGGTGAACACAACAGGTACCGATATCACTACTCCCCGCACCTCTCCCATGGTGCGTGTTGACCAGGACTTCAAAGCGAATCTGGCGGTGGCGACAAGTCCTCCCAGTAGGGGGTGGGAAGGGGAGAGGAAAGGGGGCAGGAAGAGGAGGAGGATGGGGAGGGGGACCAGTGTAAACCCAAGGCGCGTCAACGATGTGTCAATAAACCCTCCCGCCAAGTTCCCTCTACATGGGTACATCGAGGACTATATAGTTTCACTGCTGGAAGTGTCCCAGACCGTCTGGGAATCCTGAACCGTGCCCAGACACCACTCCTTGGACTTACTCGCCGCGAATCAACTTTACTGTTGCGCCCGGACGATCCAGCGTCGTGCCAAAACACCATTCCTGGGACGTCCATACCGCGAATAGACGTGTCTGTTGCGACCTGGCAATCCTAAACCGCTCTGGAAACCATATCTGGTGCGCCAACCATAAGCATTTATGAAACTGCGGAAAATTCTTAAGACGAATGCGCGCAACGCTAAGGCGAGAACCACATGCTGAAAATCACCCGGTCTCCAGCCGTGAAACCCTTGCGAACTTTCAGGACGAATGTGCGAGGCGCTGAGACGAGAACCACATGTTGAAAACGACCCGCCGTTCATCTGCAAAACCATTGCAACCTTTTGATACGAATGATCGCGGCACTGCGGCGAGAAACACAATTTGAAAAATAACCGACCTCCACATGTGAACCATGCGATCTGTTAAAACGAATGGCGCGGCGCTGAAAAGAGAATTACACTTTGAAAACCATCCACGCTCATCCGTGAGCAACCTGCAAACTGACGAACTCGCGCGGCGCTAAGGCGAGAACCACATGTTGAAAACGGCCCGCCTTCCATCCGTGAGACTGTCGCCACAATTTGGAACCAATGAGCGAAGCACTAAAATCAAGACTACCGTTTGAAAACGGCGCGGCCTGCACCTGTGAAATCTTTGCAATTCTTGCAAATCGATGCGTGCGCGGCGCTAAGGCGAGAACCTCATGTTGAAAACCACCCACCAGCACTCCGTGAACATCTTGCACACTTTCAAAACGGATGCACGCGGCAATGTGGCGAGAACCCCATGATGAGAACGACCCGCCCTCCATCCGTGAACGTGGTGCAACTCGTAAACCACACATTCATACATGGTGGGACAGTCTCTAGCGAAACGCCCGGCTCGCCCTACCGACACGACACGGGGTGCAACGGGTAGAGTCTGCTATAAGACAAAGGCATGGAGGAGGAGGAGGAGGAGGAGGAGGAGAAGGAGGAGGGGAAGGAGGAGGAGAAGGAGGAGGAGGAGGAGGAGGAGGAGGAGGAGAGGCAGGAGGAGGATGAGCTTGCCTTCATGGAGAAGGCGATGTGCGGAAGCAACGCCCGCAGCGCCTGCGGGAGGGGGTAGTGGAACCTCCTCTGTTCTCCCCTCCCTCTGCTCTCTCCTCATGAGGACGGATGCGTAAGGATGAGGAAGAAGAGGAGGGGCAGGAGGAGGAGGATGAGGATGAGGAGGAGGTGAAACAGGTAACGGATCTTCGGGGATCGGTTCCAAACATTAGCAGCGGCCGCTACAACTACGAGAAACTTTGTATCCTGCGATTGGATCCGGATGAAGGTCGCTCGGCTCATATCCTGGGCCTTCCTGGGACACCCCCATGAATAAGGGGGGGTGGCAACGCGAAGCAGGAGAGAGGAGAAGGCTGATGAGGAGGCGAGTGAGGCAGGAGGGACAGGCGAAGGACCAAGAGGAGGAGGAGGAGGAGGAGGAGGGGAAGGAGGAGGAGGAGGAGGAGGAGGAGGAGGAGGAGGAGGAGGAGGAGGAGGAGGAGAAGGAGCAGGCTGGCTGGAGGCCCTCGGGGGTGAAGGAGGATCAGGAGCAACCTGGGAGGATAGCAAGAGGAGGAGGCCGGAGGAGGAGGGAATAGAAGGAAGAGGAAAACAAGAAGTGGAAAGAGGGGGGCGCAGGAGCAGGCGGAGGGCACCCCTTCTTCTCCACTCCCTCGTCCACCCCTCCCGCCGCCCGTATCCACCACGGCTCCTTCCCCCCTGGCTCCTTCCCTCTCGGCGCCGCACCCCGCTCTGCCCCACACCCCGCCCCATGCTCTTCCCCCGCCCTTCCCTCCACCAATCAGCCCTCAAAGGAGTTCTGGGCCCACCCCTGCAGCATCATTAGAGGGGCGGGAACGGGTCCTGGACCCCAAGGCCCCAGGGGCTGCTCATCCTGAGTCGGCGTCTGCTTGACGGCCCCGGGGCCGTGAAGGGCCCCCGGGAAGGTGACCGAAATCGAGGAACGGCCCAAAAACCAGAGCCCCTCCTGAACCCGAAGCGTTTTCTTTTCAGCGTCTTGAAGCTGGCACCGCACAGTGCGCCACCGAAGCGGGCCGAGGGGCGACAACAGAACAGACACTCGGGGTCTCGATGAATGGACCCAGACCCCCGAGCCTTACGTTTTTGTCAAAACGTGGACTCCCAGAAATCTCGACCCATTCCCCCAAGACCAGCTTCTCATTCATGATTGTTTTTGCAAAGAACGCTCCGTCGTGATTCTTGTCAAGACGCGAGGGGGTCCGGGCGTCGGGCAGCCGAGGAAATCCTGCGCCCCGCGGCCGTCACACCGCCCCGTCGACGACCCAAGTGGTGATCTCGCTCCACCGGCCGGCCTGCGCCCTCTTCAGGTTCTCCCCGACGTACTCCACCTCTCGGTGGCGTGCCCAGGGGTGGGCCGGCGGAAGGGGCGGGCCCCCCTGTAAGGCTCAGAAGGCCGCTGGGCCCTCTAAAAGGCCCCCTGGGCCCTCTCCGAAGCCCCGCCGCCCCGGAGGCAGATGCTCTATATATTCCGGCAGGCTTGCTTGCTTGGAGGGGGGTGGGGCGCGCGGCGAGGCCAGAATCATCTCGGGACTCGCTTGCACGCATGCTCGCCCCAGCGCTGTTTGGACAAGCGGTCCCGCCATTGCTTGGCCGCCTGGCGTCGACCCATCTCGCCGCAGACCGACCGGCTTGGAAAGGCAGCGGCGGGGGGTAGGGGGGGGAACCCCTTGCAAGTGAACCTGCCTGAACCAAAAGAGAAACCGCCTCCTGCGAGAAGGCCGGGTCCCTCTGCCTCCCTCCCTTGGCGATTGCCTCGCGGGCCTCCGCACCACGCGCGGGGGACGCCGTGCTCTCGGAGTCTCCCTCGTGGACCTGCATGCGCACGAGCTCGAACAGTTTCTGCTTGGTGGCCGCTAGCCTCCCGCACCCCGCTCTGGCCGAGGTCGCGCCGAGAGTCGCGCCCCTCGAGGGCATCCTCCTCCCTCTGCCCTTTGTCCTCCTCATCGCGGCATTCCTGGTCCCTCGTCCCACGTCTTCCCTCCCTGAGGGAGGAGAAGCGGGGGACGAGGAAAGGAAAGGAAAGAAAGGGGAACGAGGGGGGAGGAAAAGGAGGGAGGGCGGGGGACGCAGGGGAAGGATAGGGAGGGACGGGGGACGAAAAAAGGGGGGTAGGGGGAAGGAAAGGAAGGGAGGGGAGGCTCCCCTCCCTTCCCTTCCTTGCCTCCCCCCCCTCCCTTCCCTTCCTTGCCCTCCCCCCCCTCCCTTTCTCCCTCCCTCCCATCCCCTCACTGCTTTCCTTCTTGCTCCCTCCGATCCTCACCCTATCCCCTCCTCTCCACTCTGCCCCTCCTGCCGCTCTTAGCCCTCCCCCCAATGATCTTCCCATCATTCGCCCCTCTTCGTCGTCCCCATCTCACCCTCGCCTCCCCTTCCTCCATAAGACGAAGCCAGGACGAGGATAATCGATAATCTCTCTGAGATCCAGCGGCTGCGGAGGATATCTCGAGCGCCGCGGCCTGCTCAGAGCGTCCCCGAACGCACTGAGAGCGTCCCAGAATTCCAGGACGCTATGGAAAGGATTGATCCTCGATCCGCCCCCTCACCAGGGGGGGCAAAAAGATACCGATGCCGCTGCTCCCAAGACCTCTCCTGGGGTGCGCCCTGATCACACATTCGAAGAGAATGCGCCCCCCGCTGCTCCCCCAGCGGGCCCCTCCGTGCTTCCAGCGTCTTCGTCGCCCGCTTCCGGGCCGGCAGGGCTGCGTTGACGAGGCCCCACATCGTGTACACGCCGAGAATCCACAGGATCACGAATGTCACTCTGGCGATGCCAGGGCCAAGGAAGCCATCAACTACAGTAAGTCCCAAGTTTAGAAGAACGAGAAGCGACATGCGCGGATTTCTAAAATCTCCGCTGGACCCACTCCCTGGCGCGCGGAGCGCGCCAGGGGCTGCGCAGGAGGCGCCGCCAAGGGGGGCCCAGCGCAGATCCAAGAGATTCGCGCGGACCGACGATATGTTTACGCCGTTTTTCTTCTTCGACATGTGTAAGACGAGGCCAGGGCTGGGACACCATCGGACGGGGTCAAACATCAGGAATCTCTGAGGTCCTGCGGTTTTGAGGTTCGTCGTCTATTATCATTCCCCCTCCTGACAAACTTAGTCCTAGACGCGCTCGACTTGCAGCCGGGGCGTCGTGATCACAAAACACAAGCACAACGTCCGTTCCTGCATCCGTTTCCGGGCCCCCTGCGGGATCCGAAACGGATCTCTGGGGCCCAAGAAATCATCCCGCAGAAGGGTGAGAAAAACGATGATCGTGTTCGGAGGAAGGGGGTGGGAACATACAAGGTATGACTGTGTCGTAAGCACATGCGCGGCAACATTGATGACATGATCAGATCTCCCCACCTCATCCTCCCAACCCGATAACTGTCATTCTGGAAAGGTGGGGTCGGGAACTCCAGCCGTGACCCCTCACGGCCGGTGGAGTTGACTCAGAGGCGTCGAACATCGGATTTCGGGGGCGCAGGGTACGGTTGGCGTCGTAGAGATGGTATGCAGCACCGATCTCCGCAAAGCAAGCGATCCCCCCAAATGAAGCTGCCTCTGTGCACGAAATCCCTGTGAGGCGATCCCCCCACGAGGGATCCTTCTGTGCACGCTGTCCCCCGTCAAGGCTTCGTCCGTGCACGCAACCCCCAAAGGGGGGGATTGCGTGTAGGAAGCGGGCCGCCGGCGCAAAATCGCAAGTTATCATTGCGACGCCAATCGCAAGGGCTTCTGATGGCGGACGTCGAAGGGCACATTTTCGTCGCTGTTCAACTGCGCAATGTTTACGAAACTCCAAGACGTGCCCTGAGGCTGCATAAGGGTGACGGGATTTCCGTAGAACTCACGCTCAGCTTGTTTATGGGCGTATGGGCTGTTTGAGGTGACTGCGTACTTTACGTTCCCTCGTCTTGAAGATGGGCACCTCGGCTCAAAGAAACGATACCTCGGTTGGGTCCACACCTATCCGCTCTGCAGGCTTGGAACACATATGCAATTGAACAGCTATCAGGGGCTCTAGCGCGAAATCGCCACTCCCTCATCCGACACCTTTGCGTGCTGCTCCTCTCTTCCTGGGCTCCTTTCCCTACGCCGCCCCACTCTCTGGAAGCCGAGAGCACACATGCGGAGCGGGGGCAGGCGCGGGAGATGAGGAGAGGGGCGAAAGAACACATGTCGTAGATAGGGTCCCAGGCCCGAATAGTACTGGCGCCGGAGAAGAGCTCCCCGTACGTGACGACAATGCACGCGGAGAAGACGGTGCCCATCCTGAGCATGAATTCGGTTGCCTCCTGCCACGCCCCCACGCCCGAAGCGACCATCGGCCAGGGCCTCTGCTTGGAGGTCGTCGTCAGCCAGGACTCCATGCGGAGATTGATCACAAACATCAGAAAGATGGCGGGCACGATGAGGGGCTCGATCGCTCCGAAGAATATGATGTACCCCAGCGCCATGACCCGCTGTATCATGCTGTCTATGTGCTCGCGGTTGTTGACCTTCACGTACCTGCTCTGCTTCTCGGCGCCCGTTACGCTGCTCCAGCCTCCAGACCACCATACCTAAGGAAGCTCAAAGGTGCCGTTACCGCTACTCCCCAGACCTCTCCTCGAATGCATTCTTACCAAAGTTTCGACGCGAATCCAGCGATGGCGACGAGGGCCTCCCAGGAGGCCCAAAAAGGCGAAGACGAGGCAAGGGTAGCGGCATCGGTGCCTTTTCCTCCTCCTCCTCCTCCTCTGACCTGCACCCTCACGAAAAGGTGGTAGGCCACCTGCTCGCCCGCGCTGTATGCCAGGTTGAAGAGCACCACGCGCCGCAGCTGCTGCTGGAGAGTTTCGAAGCAGCCTATCTCTGGGCAGAAGCCCTTGAGCTTCTGGTAGAAGCAGAGGCAGACGAACCACCAATCCGCCACTTCGCTTTAGGCACGAACCCTGTGATCCGGGCGCTGCAGCTTTCTCTCAGCAGGCGTTTTTGCCCAGTTTCGGGCCTTAGGACCCTCGCAGATCGATCCAGCTAGGAAAATGCAGCAATAAGATTGGGTCTAGAGCTCCGGTCGGGATTTTGACGATCTTGTATTTTGTTCGTGACGTCGGATCTCAGGAAAAGCGAGTGCCCCAAGGCGCATGCAATTGTGAGGGGCATAAGCGCTGCAAGTTCGTGAAGGCCTGGACCCCGATTCGCCAGAGTTCCGAAGCAATTCCCGGCATTCCCGCGGTGTACCGGAGTGCCCCCAAGATCCCCCAGAAAAAACTCACGGCGCGGCGGGGGGACAAGCCGGAGGCCAGCAGATAGTAGTTCACGAACTGGAACAAGAAGCTCTTGATGGCGAGGCTGTTGTAGAAGCTGTCCTGGTGCTTGTGATTCTCCCACTCCGTTAGGGCGGCTGCGATCAGAGTGAAAACAAGCTCGGACAGCTTTATGAAGCCAGATAGCATCATGGTGTCTAGCAACGAGAAGTTGCCCCGCCGCGCCTCGACAAGTGTGAGGACGTATGTAGCCACGCACACGCACAATTGAATGGTGACGAAGAAAGCGATCAACTTTCGCGCTGCCCGTTTGAGCCACCAGGACTTCGGAAAATGCACGTCCGTCACACTGTTGTCGGCCACGGACGGGCCCTCCTCGCCAATGAACTCAAGCCGCGTCAACCTGGTGCGGCAGGTCTTCTGCCTGGAGCCCTCCTCCGTGCCCCAAAGCTCCACGAAGAACAACTTCTCGCGTATCCACAAGTTGTTCGCCACAGCGCCCCACAGCAGAATGACGATGCTGCCGCTGATGACCTGCCTGTCGTTGAAAATACCCAGGCCGAGGGCCCAGCTCACCCTGCGCACCAGGAAGGTCACTATCGAGAAAATGGCGAGCGGCATTATGGACTTGCAGTAGGTGCCCGTCCACGCGAAGTCGAATGCCATTCGCTCCCCGAAATACTCCCGCACCAGAGGCAGGGGCTCCACGAGCTGAAGCAGCTCGCGAGTAGAAGCCCAGTGTGCGCGCAGCATCTGGATCCAAGCTGGGTTGTGCACGGGGTAGAACTCGGACACGAGGCCCAACTTCAGAGCTGCCTGGATGTCGATGGAGTTGGCGAGCTCGCGCTGGATTACCAGGACGCGCACGCGACTGCTCGCGAGGGTGTGCTTCCCCCCCTGGTCGTTGTACGTCTGGTAGATGCCCTCTGCAGCCTCGGCGTGGCTTGCCTGTGACAACAACCGCACATGGTGGGGATCGTACATTACGAAAGGTGGTGCTGACGCAGCCTCCCGAGGCGGATGCTCGATGCGCAACGTCTGCCTGATGAAATCGGGTCGCAGCATCAGATCGATTTGATGCGTGTAGAGATATGCGAGGGTTGCCTTTCTTGTCCTCAGGCTGACGCCAACGAAGAGGATATCCTTTCCCGCGGACGCCCATACCTCGACGTGGAATCCCTTGTCGGGCAGCAGGTTGAGCACTTCTTGCAATACCCTCTCCCGCGCCGTGGCCATGTCCACTTCTATAGGACTTGCACCATCTGTATACATCGAACCTTCGCAACTTGACCGCGCCATGATGTCCTCCGAACGCCCCGCAGGGGAGGCAGTGTCGTCGCGTTGTGAGGTGCCACTGCGCGATCTCAACGAGAGCGTGCGGTGCACCTCGAGCGGCTGGTGGCCGCTGGTCACGATGCTCTCGAGGAGACTCGAATCCAACTTTCTTTTGCCGTCCCGCTGCGGGTGCGCAGGGTGGTGAAAGCAAATAACTACGTCTGGCACTGAGGCTGGGCGGCCGGGCGTCAGCATGTGATCGCCCTGACCCAACCGAGACTCCCACCTCACACTGGCCCATGTGCAATCGGAGCGGTACACTCCACTGAAGTAAAACACGAACCATATGATCGCCAAACACAAAGTCGTGGTCCACACGATCACGCTCCGGAAAGGTGGGTCGAAGCCAGCGAGAAGCGCGTTACTCAATAGCAGCCAGTCTTCTTCGATCATGTCGATTAGCCTGGCAGGAGCGCTCAAGTGGTGGCTGATCTTGTCGCCGATGTTCCTTGGGTCCAGTGGGACCTGCAAAAGTGCCTTGGAGTGACCTTCGGCCTCATCTGCCTCGCTGGCCGTCGGTGGATCTCCGCCGCCAGACTGCTGGTTCCAGCCAGCAGCCTCAGAGCTGTTCGGTAGAGCCTGACTCCCATGGGACCTCTGCAATCTATTGACCTGCGCCTTCAGCAGCCCAACAACACTCGGAGGCGGGTGCTTCCTGCGCTCCAGGCGCGCACAGCACGCTTGGAGGGCGAGCCCAGCGTAAAGAGCTGCGCGCAAAGCCCCCATGATGCTCCGCACGTGAATGGATGAGGTTTGGTGGGATCATCTCGTGGGCTACATTGCGCGATGGGGCAACCTGGCATAGGGCACACCTTGAACCAAGACGGATCCAGCCAAGGCGCCGTGATTGGTTGCGACTCCATTAGGCGGCGACTCCAATGGGGTCGGGAATGCTTACGAGGGGTAGGACGGGGATTGCCACTCCCTTGGACGCCCGAAATGGGCACGAAAAAAGCAATACGATGCCCAACAACAAATTAAATCCAAAACCGACAGCGGCTGCTGTTCGGCAGGCGGCCTTCTGTCTCAAACGAACAACCAACGTCCGCGCGACGTCGACAGCGAGCCCTGTTCAGAATAGAACTGGACTGCTGTTAGTCTTCGTCCCCCGAACTCCGAGGGGGCCAACTACCTTTCCACAACAAGCGCCGGTGGGAGGGGTGCGCCAGAGCCGCCGACAGTTCTGAATCAACCCCCGTCGCGGCAAAACCACAGCGCCGCGAAGGCGCTCCAGCGCACGGCGCAGCGCACCAGACGAGAGGGGCATATGAACCGCTCCTATGCCCAGGATCGGCCTGGCCAGGGACGGCCTGGCCAGGGGCAGTGGATCCGTATAGATCTCGTCGCTCGACTCGGGAGGCCCAAGAATAGGAATCAGGCTGCGAAAGCACAAACACACACACACACACACGCAGATAGCTTGGCCAAGCTGTGCTCCTCGTCATACGCGTCTTGGGAACCTCGTGGGGCTTCAGGGGGCCTCTTCGGGGCGTCTGGTCCCAACCTTCCCGAACAACTCCGGCTGTCACCTTCATCATGGGAGTCTCCTTCCAGGGCCTGCGGCACCAGCCGTAAGGCCTGCACAATGAGAGGAAACATTGGGAGGACCAGCTCAGGGGGGAAGACGTCGAGCTGGAATCGGCCTCGCCGACAGATCGGCGACAGGCCGCCCCCAACGGCAGACCCACACGGTCCTGGGCGGGGCGGGCCATCGGGCCGCTGTCGGCGATGAGTGGAAGCTTGGGCGCCGATGCATCCCCCCCCTGAGCGTTCCTGACTACTTACCAGGCCATCCCAACCCGAAGACCCAAATTTCGGGTTGAGGGGGGTAAGGGTTCCACGTGTGTGTGTGTGTGTGTGTGTGTGTGTGTGTGTGTGTCCGATGTTCCCCGACGCCCCCCACACTTGAAAAAAGAGGGCAAATTGGGGTTTGCGGGTGGGGTTGGGGTGGTTTGGTGGGTGGTGACTATCTCCCCCTAACGTTTCCCCTGGAATAAGGGCAGACGAAGACACATCGAACTTCGATTCTCGTTCCTCGGACCTCCATCCTCGATCCACGACGACGGGAACGGCGTCGGCGACCACAATCGTTGTCGCTGTCGCTGTCGCGGCCGGCAGTCGGCAACGGCCGTTCGTCGTCGCCGTCGTCTGTTTTTCGCCGTCGCCGTCGTCGACATTCGGCGGCATTCGGCGACGGCTGGTGTCTGCCATCGGCGACTGCTGCCATCGTCGCCACCGCCGTCGCCGCGGGCCGGCGGCGGCGAGGACGACCCAGACCCCCGACATCACATTTCTTCACAACGCGGACCCCCAGAGGTCTGGACCCGTTACCTGGACCAGCTTCATCACGACGAGCCGTTTTTCCGCGGCCCCGGGACTTGGCTAGGGCCCGCAGAGGCCGGAGGGAGCAAAACACTTCCTGTCGCGTCTTTTGTTACGACGCGCGGGAGTCTGGGTTTCGTTCGCCGTCCTCGTCGTTTAGTTTTCGCGTCATAAATCGGGTCTCCAGCGGACGATCGGGACAATTCAGTCATCCGCGGGACGCTCTCGGCGAGGCGCAGCTGCTGGAAAACATCCCGAGGCTGGAACACTGCCGAGAACTGGCGAGAGCGCCCGAAAGCTCCACGCGGGCGCGAGGAGCGACGTCGAAACCGGCCGAAACTGCGACGGCGACGGCCGACGGTCAAATTACGGCTGGACCTGAAACAAAAAAACATCCGACAAGAACATGAGGCCCTCCGCCGGCCAAACTGAACAAGGATATTCGAGGGTGCCTTCCCCCGGGAAACACAAAAGCATCAATCAAACAGGAAGAACATCAGGGTACCCTCCCCCAAGCGACGTGGATTTTATACTCTTAGACCTCGGTCCGACCGTCCGTCCAACGACGGCGGCCGTCGCCCTCGCCCTCGTCGCGCTGCGCAGACCTACCCGCGCGAAGGCGTGCTCGCGTAAGCGCGCCTGCCGCAGCTCCCCGACCGGCGCCTCCACAGCGGAGCCGTCCGCGCCTACTCGCCGCCCGCCGCGTGGAAAGACAGATAGAGAGAGAGGCAGGAGCGCAGGGCGGCGAGGTCTAGCCCAGGCTCGCTCCTCGGGTCCTCGAACCTCGAGGAGGACGACGACGACAGGGCGAGGACGAGGACGAGGCCGAGGACGACGGCGAGGACGAGGACAACGACGAGGACACGGACGAGGACAAGGACGAGGACGAGAACGAGGCCAGCAATCGCACCTCGATCCTCGAACCCCGACCCTGGGGTTCACCCCTGCTTCTTTTTGACACACTGGGAGGCCACGTGCGGCCTGCGTGCGCAAGGCGGGCGTGTGGGGTCGCGTGCGTCAAAGTGCATGTGGGCATCCTTTACGCTGTACAAATGTGCCAACGTGCCTCTAGGCACGGAGTGGGCGTGCCCTCAGGTCCTTTGCCTGATCTTCTGAGCCTCAATCCTCACTCCTGACGGGTTTTTGAAGGGCCGGGGCCCTAACTTCTCAAGCTTACCGGGGCTTCCCGCGTGCCCCTGGGCTCGGGGAAATGTTCCCGCATCGACTTTTGGGGCCCAAGAGGGCCCCCAAACGGGCCAAGAAGGCCCCAAGAAGCCCCCAAGACGGTTTAACGATCGCTTTACGACGCTCAAGATGGCCCCCCAAGAAGCCTCCAAGACGCCCAAAGAGGCCTCCAAAAGGTCTCCCAAGAGGGCCCCAAGAAGTCATTCATATTCAGATCATAAGGTTCTGAAGGATTTTGGCGTTCTCGCCTCTTCGGCTTTCCAACGCTCCCAGACGGCCCTAGAGATCCCCAAGACCGCCCCAAGACGGCGCAAGAGGCCTCCAAGAGGGCCCCAGATCGGTCCAAGAGGGCCCCAAGACGGCCCAAGAGGCGCCCAGAACGGCCCAAGCGGGCCCCAAGACGACCCCACAACAGGCCCAAGAGAAGTACGACGAACCGAAAATCCAAGCCTTCCGCCCCAAGAGGCTCTAAGGAGGCCCCAAGGGGCGCCCAGAAGGCCCCACGAGGCCCCCAAGAGGCCTTCAAGAGGCCCCAAGAGGCCCCAAAGAAGCCCAAAGAGGCCCCAAAGATGCCCCAAAGAGGCCCCCAAGAGGCCCAAAGGGGCCCAAAGAGGCCCCGAGAGGCCTCCCACGAGATCACAACGAACATCAAATATGCTTCGCACAACCCAGGCACGGTGGCGGGATGGGCCGATACTCTGAGCATGCCTACGCGAGTTCAGAGTGGTCGTTTTTGACACGGTCCTTTTGGGTATGGTTGTTTGGGGCATGTCTGGGCGAGTTTAGCATAGTGGTGTCCTTAAAATCCGCTGGCCCTGTCGGCGTGTGACAGGGGCTGTTCCGCCGCCATCGCCGTCGCTGCCGCCGTCGCGTCGCCGCCGCCATCACGTCCCCTCCTTCCCCTGAGTCCGTCGCCACTCCCCCCCTTTCCTTGGGTCCTCGTCCTCAAGCACGCCAGCCAAAGCGAAATACACCAGCCCATCTACAGCGAAGTTAAGCAACGTTGTCATTGAGTCGAAGGAAAGCCCCTTCCATTTGATCCCTTCCCCGCCGAAGGGGGGGGGGGGGGGGGCGGGGGATTCCTGGGGGGGGGGGCTCCTGGGGGGTGGTCCTGGTCAGAATACCACCCTCCCGGGGCCCATGGCCCAACCTCTCTCCCTCCCATTTCCGTCCAAGGCCGAGGCCTCCAGGGTCGGCGGCACCGGCCGTAAGGCCTGAGCAATAATCACAATGTAACCCACTGTCAATCGCAAGACCTTGACCCCCCGCTTCTCGGGCCAGACGAAAGAGACAGAACAGGGGGGAGGCGAATCAGCTCACGTACCTGATTCTCCTGGCGCCTCCCGGCGCTAGAGGCGGCCATGTGTAGAGGAATGGGACTCTCCACGGGACCGAAACCAACTGCATGCAGCAGATTTTATGATCCCCCCCCATTCCGTGTCCCCCCCCCTGTCGTCCGATCTCGAGCCCCACTTCTCCCAGGGAGGATCGAAGGATCGAAGATCGAGGCTCGAGGCTCGAAGATCGAGGTTGAGGATCGAGGGTCGAGGATCGATCGAGGATCGAGGATCGGGCCCACACACACAACCCCTCAACCCACACCGCGGCGGCGGCGGGAGGAGGGCGAGGCGGGCCTCCCCCTTGGGCAAGGCGACGATCATACGCATGCCCACCGCCCCGGGCCAGGCCCATCCTGGGCCCAGGAGCGGTGCATTGGCCCCCCCCTGGCCAAACCGTGCGGGGGGAAGGCATGCACAGCCACCGTCAATCGTACTCCCCTGGGGGACGCACAGTGAGGAACGAACGGGCGTTTCTGGCCACGGCGAGCCTCGGCCATGTGTTTTTAAGCTCCGAGCCCTGAATTTACAGGACGGCCCGAAAACCAGAGCCCCTGCAGAGCCCATGGTGGTCCTTCTTCCGGGTGTCTTGGCTGTGCACCGCTCCTGGGGTCAGGATGGGCCTGGCCAGGGGCGGTGGAGGCGTGCAGACCTCGCCTGCGCCGCCGCAGGGACAGGGCAGGCAGCTGAGAACGAGGAAACGCGACACCAGCGCGAGGAGTCAAGGGGGTGCTCCTCGTGCCCAGGCCCCCTCGCGTTGCACCGACACGGCGCTGGGAGATGTTTTGCCATTCTCGGCCTCTGGAGGCCCTCGCTGGACCCCGGGGCCTCCGAGGAACCACCCGGGATGACAAGCGGGCCCCGGGGGAATGGGTCGAGACTGCCAGGGGGGTCGACGTCGCGACACAATCCTGACGTCGGGGGTCTGAGCTCCCGGAGCTCCAGCGGAAAAGCGACACCCCGACCAGCGCGAGACGCCAGGAGGGGTGCTTCTTGTGGTGTGGTCCCCGACCCCTCCCCGCTCGCGACGTCCCTATCCTCTTTTCGGGGAGGCACTGTGGGCCTCCTTGCTGGAGGCTGGCACCCTTGGTGCTGGTGCTGGTGCTGGTGGTTCTTGCTTCTCTTCCCCCGTTGAGTATTCCTTTCTTTCTTTTTTTTGACCCGAAGGGAAAGTGCACGGCACCAAAACGGTCACACTTGAGACAGCCACTCTGGCTCAAAATTGTGGCCGCCACCAAAGTGACCCCGAGGAGCATTCCTGGAGCTCCAGCGGATTGCTCTTGTTAACAACGGCGCTGTCTTCTCAACTTCGCCCCCCCGGGGGCCGTTCTCGGGGCCCTGGGGTCCTCAGGAACGGATCTGGGGCCAGAGACTGTCGCATGCCTCATGGACTTATACGGCCGGAACTCTTAGCGTATCGTGACGGCGGCCCTGGTGATACGCTGTGCTGCGCTGATAACGTGCCACTCCGCTCCACGGAACGAGAGGCCGGGAAACGCTCGGAAAGTTGACGCTTGGGGACCGCGACGTGAATAGCGTGTCGCGCCGAAGCGCGGTGGGCCAGAACCGTCGGCGCGCCACGCCAAACAAAACGTCTGTGACCGTATCCCAAACATGCGATGCCTATTTTTCCAATACGGGGCCCCTGGAAGTCCCGAGGATTTGCCAGGACTGGTTCTCCATCTCGAGGCGATTCTCGACGGGCCCTGGGCCCAGCGAGGGCCCCGAGAGGCGAAACACCACAACACCCGCAACAATAGCAACAGCAGCAGCAGCATCAACAGCAGCTCGAGACATAACAATAACAACAACAGCAGCATCAACATCAACAACAGCATTTGCAAGAACAACACCAACAATACCATCAACACCTGCAGCAATAACATCACCAACACCAGCAACACCAACGCCCGCAACACCAACAACAACAGCAACAACAACACCAACAGCAGCACCAACAGCGGCACCAACAGCAACAACAGCGCCAACAACCACACCATCAGCAACAACAGCCCCACCAACACCAGCAACAACAACAACAACACCAACAATACCATCAACAACAGCAGCAACGACGACAACAAAACCACCAACACTACCACCAACAACACCAATAACACCACCATCACCATTAACAGCCACAACGACGACAACAACAACAGCAATCGGTTTAAGACTGTTCGTTCTTACCCCTTGCATGCCAACACGTATATCTCAAACCCTCGCTACCCGACCTCTTCGTCTCCGATCGCACCCCATTGGGGGCATCTATTTCTCACCTGCAAGTAAGATTTCGTGCAGACCCTACGGCAGGAGAGAGAACGGATGGAAGACAGGGACAAGGGGGAGGGACGAGGATTGAGCAGGAGAGGGAGTAGCAGGGTGGGGCTAGGAGCAGAAAGCTGTTTTTGATTCGCGGGTCGAATGCGCACCTCTTCCGGTCGAAGCTAAGCGGGCCGCGCACAACTTGAATTGACAAATTGGGGGGTGAAAGGAAGGGCCTCACGTCAAGGCCAAAAGGGGGCAAAGCCCTGGGATCAAGCGGTGCCGAAGACGATGTGTTTGCAAAGGAACGCCTTGGACAGGAACCCGGCGGCGAAGTACCGGAGGAAGCAAAATGCTGTGGTTGGTGGTGCCGTCAGCGGCGCGTCATGTACACCAGCCTCAAGTGGCGGCAGGAGAAGACTCGCCTTGTATCCAAGAGGCGTCGACCAGGGAGGATGGAGAGCATCGCTGAGCCGAAGTGCAACGTTGTGCCACCGAACAGGATGCGGGAACGGGTGGCCCAGGCCGTGGTTGTCCAAGATGCCGCGGATCCAGGGTACGGGAGCCGCAGTCTGAGGTGCGGCAGTCAGGACATGCCAGGAACATGCCGCTTATAACGACCGACAGGGTGCCGGTGTGCTGCAGGAGGCGGAGGCCTGCCCTGCAGTGGCGAGCGCGTGGGGCCGGGCCGAAGCCGCATCCGCTGCGCTGCCGTTCTCCGCGGTGCCCAGGGCCGGGCCTTGGCCGCGCAGCGCCAAGGACCGCGGGGCCGCCGAGGCGGCATGGTGCGACGGGACCGTCGCGTGCGAGCGCCGGGCACCGGGCCGAAGCCGCGCTGTGCCGGGCGCGGCCGCCATGCGGGAGGGGGGGTAGCGAGCGGGGAGGGGGGAAGCGGGCAG